ATAGTCCTTTTTGTTTGTTTTTTGTTTTGTTTTGAGGTGGTTTTTGGTTTCTTGAGACAGGGTTTTTCTGTGTAACAACCCTGGCTGTCCCGGAACTCACTCTGTAGACCAGGCTGGCCCCGAACTCAGAAATCCACTTGTCTCTGCTTCCCAAGTGCTGGGATTAAAGGTGAACACTACCACAACCCAGCTATAGTCCATTCTTAAAGCATAGCCATTATGAAAACATTCCTCATTTGTTGCCTGTTAGCAGTAGCTTTGCAGCAACTGTGCACTAGGAATACTCGATGCTGTGGCCTAGGCAGGCAGGACAACCAGTACAATCTGCAGAGGAAACCAACTGAGACTTGCTTTGTAGGTAATGATCATTTGTCTTTGGCGCTTCCTCTCAGCCCTGGGCAGCTCAGCAGCAGGGCCTTTACTACAGGATGGCCTGCTGAGCTCAGCTGCTCACTGCATTTTTCTTGGCCAATGATGAAACCTTCCTAAAAATGTTTTTCCTTGCCAATGCCTCACCAGGGATGTCAATAGCACACTTAGTCTCTGCAGGGTAAGAATGCCTCCACAGAGAATCATGTCCTTGAGATAGCCTGCACTACAGCTCTGCCCTTGACTCAGCCGTATTAATTTAGTTCAGCTGAAATTGTTGGACTGACTCTGGGGGGCAAGCAAATCTTAGCACTTCCATTCTCTGGTCCATGATGTGTAAGGTACAAACAAGGAAAGCTTCAGTATAGCACATCATGGAAGACCTCTCAGTAGAAGCTTATGGATGAGAGGGAGGAGAAACCTGAACAGGGAGATGATTCTAAGGAAACGGTACTCGTGCGGGCTTTCAGATGGTGCCAGCTTACAGGCTAGGGCCCTGGAAGACTTGCAAGCCAGAGAGTGGCACTGTCAATGTTGTGGAAGTTACCTGGCCACAGGAACTGAGATAGCATCTAGGGAACTATTTAAAAATTCAAGAAGATGCTCTCTGGGACCAGGATTTCAGCTCAGATGATGCAATGGATACTGGAAAAAGAACCAACAGTCCTTGAAGATGGATTAAAGGGAGGGTGGTAAAGAATCAGGGATGATACATGGTTTTCAGGGTCCCCCCCCCATTATCCTAACACTCACTGAGACAAATGATTAAGGGCTGGAAGTGCAGAGATTATAAGCCATGGAAGAGTGGATAGCAGTAACTGGTTATGGTGATCTGTAGAGAAGATACAGAAAGGACAGGGTGTTGGGTGTCTTGGCACGCCTGTAATCCTAGCACTTGGGAGGTGGGGGGCAGGAGGATCAGAAGTTGGAGGCTAATATAAGCTATATAAGGCTATCTCCAGCCCCCCCCCCAAAAACCAGGTTATTAAAGAAGACTGAAGAGGCAAAAGGACACAGGGCCTGTATGAAGGGATGCTGTCTGAGTCATGGCAGAAGAAAGGGTAAAAAGGCTGGTTTAAGAACAAAGCCTGGGTGGTAGTGGCATGGGCTATATCTTCTTGAGAATTGTCACTTCACAAAGCTGAGGAAGGGAGAGGCAGAGAGAACACAGGACTTGTCACCTCAGGGAGAGCTGAGAAGAGCTTGCCAGGAAAAGTGAATGGCTTGGGATCTTGATGGTGGTGCCGCTTTGCATTGACAAGGTGCAAGCTGGGGCCGTGGAAGTGGGAGCTGAGGAGAGGAACAGTGAGTAAGCAAAGGGACAGCTGAGCACTTCATCTTGGTGAGGGAGTACTCAAGTGTCTATGGACGATAACAGCGGTAGAACAAACAACAAAGATCCAGAGAGCCAGAGCACGACAAACACCAAATTTGAGACAGGAGCCCCCATACTCCCCTCTCCAAACAAATTCCAGGAGCACAGCACGCAAGCCCTTTCTCTTTGGGCAAACTATACCCTAAAACTCACACATCCAATCCCACTAAGTCTCATGGGAAAGGGGCTGCTAGCCCAGGCTGTGAAAAACAAGGCTTGGAGCTTAAATGATTTGCCTACTACCACTAAATCATAGCAACCCAAAGCCCATCTCATTGATGGCCAACATTGCCCAAAGTGGTTATTTTCTGTTTGAGGGACCCCTAGCCCTTCGCTGCTCATATCATGAATCCCAGTGCCCCTTCTTCTGTCACTCAGCCATGCATCAGATGCTTTAGTTTCTTTCCCCAGGCATAAGAGCTGTTTGCCAAGTCCTAGAATGACTGTTCTGCAAGTAGCACACAGGAATCAGGAGGATCAGGACTTGAAGGGCCTCTTCCACTCCAGGGTAGGTAGTGGTTCTCAATCTGTGGGTCATGACCTCTAGGGTTGAATGGCCCTTTCACAGAGGTCACCTGAGATCACTGGAAAACAGATACTCACATTACAAGTCACAACTGTAGCAAAACTAGTTATGGAGTAGCAATGAAAATAACTTTATGGTTGGGGGTCACCACAACATGTGGAACTGTATTAAAGCACCGCCGCATCAGGAAGGTTGAGAATCACTGCTCTAGGGAAAGCAGTGCTGCAGGATCTTCACTTAGACGACACAACCAGCCCCATGGCAGCAAACCTCAGCCTTCACAGACAGGCACCTGGACCTAAGTGCAGGAAGGAGAAAGGCAGGTGTCCCTGTGCTGGATGGACACTAGAAGAACTGACCCCTGGGGACCTTAACAGCTGAAGGTTCTAGATCCCCCTTCCCCGGCTTGTGTGCCGTTCTCTCCCTAGCCCCCATTTTTTGCAGCAGGATCTATACCTGGTTCCCTGTGCACCAAGGGGGCTCAGAACATCCTTAAGTACATGTTTATGGCCATGCTCACAAAAGTATTCCTGAAAGACCACATCCTTCCACTCCCTAGTCCTGTGCCAATTAGTGTTCTGCCATGGAGGGCACCAAACATAGTGGTGAGACCAGGATGCCTACCCCAAGAATATGGCAAACAAGGCACATGCAGCAAAGAGTAAATGCAGGCAGCTTCATTCCAATCAAGGCAGGAACAAGTCCAACTTGTGCAGTCCCCATTACAGGATTGCCCTGGGAAAGCACAGACGCTGGCAAACGGTTGTAGCTCTCTGCTGTGTGCAGAGCCGTATCCAGATCCGCCTTATAAAGCTCCTTAGCTAAGGGGATTGGTAGAAACAGCCACACAGAAGAATCAACAATAGAGCACTGTGAGCGCTGATTATAGAAGGAAGGGGCTGGAGCACTGGCCAAAGGCTGCAGAAGAAACACTGGCCTACTAGGACCAGGTTCTGCTGCTCAAACTAGGTCACCTTCTCAGATCTCAGGATGGTTCCAGTTCTGAGCCCCTGGGCAGTGACATAGCCCAACCAGTGCAGCCTGAGCCTTCTCATAAACTGCTCTGGAGCTGGCCTCCCAGTCACAGCTGTGACTTACAACACAGATTTACATAGCACTTTACATGGCTGGGGAGCTAGGATGGGACTCAGCAGGCACCTACCACAAATGAGGCCCCATGTTCCATCCTGAGCCCTGCAACAGAGCACTTCCTCGATGCACACGAGGCCTATCACTACTTCCAAGCCTTGAGGGCTCTCTTTCTTCATATTTCATCTTGTACACAAGTTCTGCTCCTCAGTAAATACAGACCTTTCTGCCATAAGACAGTATGTATCTTTTTGTTTGTTTTCTGAGACAGAATCTCAATCTGTCCAGGCCATCCTGGAACTCAATATGTAGCCCGGGTCAGCCTCAAACTGAGGGTGACTTTTTTTTTTC